ACAACCCTTGTCTGGCCATGATCGTGTGGACGCAGTTTGCCTTGAGAAAGGACCAGGAGACAGCATGGAGACAGGGTTTCTACGCGTCTGCGCGTTTCTGCCTCGGGCTTCTGCAGGGTCAGGATCAAGCTCATTTGGCCTCTACTGGCAGCAGTGAGCCTTGGGTTCTGAATGAGGGAAGCCGGGTTGGCAGACTAGTCCTGGGGCAGGGCATCATGTTAGTGTCTGGTGTGTAGTTGGCAAGTCACCTGAAAGGGAGACTCCGAAGGTCGTCTATGAATACTCTAAAGCTAATCCAGGTGTCCTGAGTGCATCCTCCGCGGGGAAATAGGAACGTTTTTGTGTAATGAAATAGTCCTCTGTCTGAAGAGAGAAATTACTAGGAAAAATGGAGGTGAACTGTATAAAATTTATGAAAGGAGAATTCAGACAGACCCACCTGGGTGATGTATCTCAAGTGCTGCCCCAGGAACTTGAGTACCTGTCCCCTCCCAGTGGCAGGAACATCCCTGAGAGCAGATTGGTGCATCAGATTATTAAAGCTGCCAAGTTGCCTCAGCTCTGCCCCAGCCTCGGAAGCCCTCCTTGCATTGTTGGGACGGAGACTCTGCAAATTATTTTTCTCCCTCGTCAGCCAGTAGGGGGTGCTGTAATGTAGGAGGATCACAGAAGACACTTGCTCATTTCTTTTGCTCTGTTTTTGTGTCATAAGAGTAATGGCCTTCACTCTGGTAGCTGTAGTAGGTTCCAGGCCAGCATCTTTCTATTAACCTTCATTGCACCTTGAAAAGGTGCCAGCTTCAGCTGGTCAGCGACCTCTCCTCAGTCATCTGAGTCCCAGCTCTGCAGGGTTCCTCCTTCCAGCTTCTAAATTCTAACAACACCACCCTCTTCCCTTTCAACTCCCAGCTGGCTTCCAGCAGTTACTATCTCTGTGTTCAACCCGTTCCTTATATTAAATTCTCTCTGTTGAAATACCTGGGGTGGATTCTGTTTTTCTGTTTGGACCTCGACTTCTGACACAAATGCTTGATGATACTAGCCATTAATACTCTTATTATCCAACAAATTGCGTGCGCGCACACACACACCACATTCCTGTTTATCTCACATCTCTCTGATTGAAATAACCTTCTCACGTAGAACTCCTACAGGGAGATTTGTTGTCCAGGAAGCATATAAAACATGTCTAGTCAGCTTGAGAGTTATATTTTTCATTTGAATGCTGTTTTCATACCTCGGTCTCCAAGAGCCTCTTTTGGCCATGGAGACGGATCCATTCCAGGGACACTGGCAACGTGTTTCCTGAACTTGCTAATGAGGGTCCTACCCTACACCGTGTGATCCCACCACAGGGTGATGGCCTGGCAAGTGACTAACTCCTCTTGTGTTCTTCCTCGGATTTTGCCTCATCCTGATGCCAAGCATGAAAATATTTTTCTTTAAATGGCAATAGCTAATATTGAAAGACAATGTCCCTTTCCCGAAAAACATGTTCCTTTCTTTTAATTCTTCTCCAAAAAAACTTATCTGAAAAAAATCTTCATCGTCAAGATATAAAGGACCAATATGACTAAACTATCTCATCTCAGAGTATTTTAATTTTATTTGCATTTTAATAAACCTCTAAAGTGTTTAGATCAAAGGAGTTAAGCCTTGATGCTAGAATCCCACTGGCCTGCGTGGGGAGGGGTGGGGAGGGGGTCACACTGCACTACCGAAGACCCTGCAGACGGGCGGCTTCTGTAGCTCCCCTTTCAGTTGGCGCTGCTATAAAGGCATGTTCAATCTCACACAGTTCTGCACTGTCCCTCGCCAGACCACAGCTAATCTCCTTTCCCCCAAAGCCACAGTGCAGGGCCCCGGGGAGGCCACAGGGAACCTACACATTTCATAAGAGCTGTCTTTGTAAAGCTAACCAAATATTTGCCTCCGACTGGCAGCACCAGTTTCCAGAGAGGACTTGCACACATATTCGTGTGCACCCCGCGGCTCACGTGCCCGCGCTGCCAACATCCTGTCGGGACTTTTGGGGCCGGCTGAACAAGCAGAAGTCAGTGGCAGTCCCTGTGCACCTTAGCAGGCGGGTGTCCCCGGGCCTTTTTTGTGAGCTTTCACAGACAGACAGTGCCATAGTGAGACTGCCGACTCAAGATGTTGCTATACTTAGCCCACCGGCAAAAAATTATGCCCAACTCTCACTTGGTTGAATTAGGGACATTGCCAGGGCACGTGTAAAGGACAGCCCCAAGTAAGATTTGATAAGAAGCCAAGGTTTAAAATGCACTGAAGTGGGAAGGTGCTGGAGGAAATGTACTGAGAAGCTGGGGAGTCTTGTCCGGTCAGGTCTGCTACTCTCCTTGAACAAGCGGCTCAGTGTTTGCAGACTGCCATCTCCTGGGCTGAAGCTTTCTCCAGCTTCCCTGCACGCTCTCTGTATCGGTCTGCTGGGGCTGCCATAACAAAGGGCACGCATCAGGTGGCCTCAATAAAGGAATATCGTCTCACAGTTCTGGAGGCTGGGCGTCTGAGGTCAAGGTGTCAGCCCAGCCGGATCCTTCTGGAGACTGGGGGAGGGTCTGTTCCATGCCCTTCCCCCGGCTTCCGCTGGCTTGCTGCACTCTTTGGAGTTCCCTGACTTGTAAACGAGTCACCCCAATCTCTGCCTTCATCATCTCACGGCATTCTCCCTGTGTGTGTGTCTGTCTCTGTGTCCAAAATTTTCCTCCCTATAAAAACACAATCATATCTGCTTAGGGCCCATCCTAATGACCTCATCTTAACATGGTTATCTACAAAGACTTTATTTCCAAATAAAGTCATTCTCACGGGTACTGGGGGTTAGGACTTCAGCATCTTTTGAGGTGACACATTTCAACTCTCTGACCTCAGATTCCTGTGGGCAGGCCTCCTGGGCGATGAGCTGGCCTTCTGGCTGTGGTCAGCCTGCCATTGGCCTTCCCCTGCTTCTCTGGAGGGAGGCAGGGGGGCAGGTGGAGGCAAATCCTGGTGACCCCTTTGCAGTTGTGTTACACCAGGGAGGTCACTTTACCTCGGAGCCTCTGTGTCCTCCTCTATGAGATGGGATAGCAGGCTCACTGAGGAAAGTCAATGAGCTGAAGCAAAGAAGTACTTGGCTGGCACATGGTAAGTGCTCAAAAGATTATAGATATTGTTAGTATGGATTCTTGCTGATGAAGAGACTGAAACACCATTGGAAGGTCTCAGTGCAGTTGAAAGTCAGAAGAGGTTGACTGTAGCCTCTTAGCCAGATGGCCCAGGCTGTGGGGGCCGCTAGAGACAACTCTCAGACAACGGGTGAATTAGGTGACCCTGATTCCAGGCCATTCCTTGCTTTGTGGCGTCCCTGTCAATGTGTTTCTACTGGGACACTGCTCTGGGCCTGTCCCCCTGCAGCAATATTCCATCCACCTGTTCGTTCACAGGACCTGGGACAGGCCTTCCTAACTCCAGCTCCGGGTCTGGTAAAACATCCGCAGTGAGACTTAATGCCAGATAACAGCTTCACGCACTACCCTTCCCAGGGGTATTTACCTCGAGTGCTCCGCACAGAACGCGAACACCCTCCAGTGAGGACGTTTGGGGCAACTAAGGGTGCTTACGGAATGGGGCTGGCCGAGCATCTTACACCCCAGGTGGGGACTGCCTGCCTCAAATAAGCATGACTCCCAAGGCCCCTGCAGCTGTGAACTGGAGAGCTCTCTTTCACGGACTAACTCTCTCTCTCATTCCACCCCCAGCGCCAAATCCTTCCAGAGCATCAGTGCGGGCTTGGAGGCAGCTGCCTGAATTGCAGGAATGGGAAGACTTGCGTCAGGAGATGGCTTTGGGTCTCCAGCCCCTTTGCTGAGTGAGGAGGACAGCTGGGAGCAGCCCTCTCCCCTCCTTCCTCTCCAGCTGCTCCGTCACATCGTCCTCAGGCCTGGCTTCTCCGAGCTTTGGTTTCCTAACAGTGTCCCCTTGTCTTGGCATAGACACTGGTCATTCATCCATCCCCTGTAAGTCCCGGGGTCTCTTCAATCCTCCTGGGGCAGGGCCAGTGACTTCTTATTATGTGAGTGAATGAGCAATACTAAATGAAGTATGTAAGTAGAAGCAATTTTCAATAAAAAAAAATCTCCAGAAATCTTTGTAATTTATTATCTCTAAGAGGTTAGGAATGTCTATTTGCTCTTTGGCCGAATTAATGAAAGTGTAGCAAGCAAAATAAAGGAAGCAAGAATCCCCTCCATCCTGATCTACGTGAAGGAGTGTGTTTGGTTCGGCACTTTTCATTTGTTCGATTTCAATCAAGAATATGTCAGAAAGAAGAGTAGCCAGAGACAGTATTCTTTGAGCACAAAGCGAGATGTCCTCGAGTCATCTGGCCATAAACAACTCGGTGAACTTTGACTTGACTTTGGCTTTTGGAACGCAGGGAAAATGCAGTTGCTAAATGTTTGCAAACTCGGGGACAGTGCATTTGCTAGGACAGGGAAATGCATCTGCTAAACCCTGACACTCTGCATCTGAATCCAACCCGGCGTCCAGGAATCGCCCGCCTGCCTGCTGCTACTGGATCCAGAATGGGAAATGAGCTCCTTTAAGCCGGCCACAGGGGGAAATACCAACTTTTCAGAGAGAGCACGCGGGAGATTTCTCGATTGCCCTGAATGGGTTCCCACTGCCATTCCAGACAGACTGATGCAGTGCAGCCCGGATGCCTGGCAAGCCCGACGGAAGGCTTTTCCAAAAAGCATCTTAGACGGCGGAGGCGCAGCCTTTCCGTGTCTCCCCACGAAAGCGTATCGCTGGACACATACTCCCTGTTCCCAGCTGGTTGCATATGTTTTCTTCACACTTTAACACAAAAACATGCCAAGGTGTGACATTTATGAACCCCAGCAACTGGGAGCCGCACACACAGATCCGTTCTGCCTGTGATGTGGGAAAGTGATGAATGGGCTGTTCTGCTTTGCCTCTGGCGTGCCTGCAGCCTTATTTATTACACAGCAAAGTATAAAACCACCCAGCCGCTGCCGCTCCGTCTCCAGCCCTGGCATTCGCCCGAGGAGACCACGGCGCCTGGAGCCCCGGCCCCTGCTCCTGGAGGCTCTGTGGCTCGGTTGAGAATCATGCTGGGGCGGCTCACCGGTTGGCACCTGCTGGCTTTGTGTTTCCTCCCATTTTGCCTGTGTCAAGATGAATACATGGAGGTGAGCGGAAGAGCTAATAAAGTGGTGGCGAGAATAGTGCAAAGCCACCAGCAGACCGGCCATAGTGGCTCCAGGAGGGAGAAAGTGAGAGAGCGGAGCCATCCTAAAACGGGGACTGTGGATAATAACACGTCTACAGACCTCAGATCCCTGAGACCAGATGAGCTACCGCACCCCGAGGTAGATGACCTAGCCCAGATCACCCCCTTCTGGGGCCAGGTACTCAGAATTCTCTTCTAGGGATTTACTGGGAGTTGCTTCGTGAGCGTCGCTGTCCTTGCTTTTTGTTTTGGGTCTGATGCGGGGATGAATGCTTCTGAGACATTGCTGAGCTGCTTGTGGGTCTCTCTCTGGGTTGTTCTGTGCTACGGGGGGGGCTGTGGATCTCTGTTGGAAAACCAGCAGAGGTAGCACTGATGTGCTGGGACTTGCTTTCTCTCTTCTATTGGTGAGGCGAGGAGGCGGACTGACCCATGTACATAGCCCATGGCTGCTGATAGTTGTTTGCAGGTCATAGGAGTCGGACTTTCTTAATCCTTCCCAGCAGGGAGAAGCTGCCCTTTGCGGTTTTCACTTTGAGGGTTTGCTGTGCTACTTTATGCCAGGCTTGTTGATCTGATTTATAGCATTCTAGTTTGTGAAGTTTCTGTGTTCAGCCTGTTTAAAAAAAGGACCAAAGAGTTCAACAAAGGACTGTATATTTAAAACGTAAACCTCCGTGTGTAATTTGATGCCTGATCATCACAGAGGATGTGATTAATTTCTCAGAGTATAAGCTCAGCAAATAAGGGAATATCTTCAACTCTGTTAGGGCTGTATGGGAGTGAGTTTATATTTCCAGGGTAATGAATGGCAAATTGGTGAGACTCAATTTATTTTAAACATTAAGAACAGAAAAAAACAGATTTTTTTTTTAAATCCTCACCCAAGGACATTTTTCCATTTTTGTTCAGATAGAGTGGGAGGGAGAGAGAGGGGGAGAGAAAGAAAGAGAAACATCGATGAAAAGAACACATAGTGTGGCTGCCTCCCTCACAACCCCAACCAAGGCTGGGGATAAACCACAGCGAAGGCACGTGCCCTTGGCGGGAGCTGAACCTGGGTCTCTCTGGACCGCAGGCCGATGCTCTAACCAGTGAGCACACCAGGGCAGAACAGATTTTTTAAATCTTTTAAAAAATTATTTAAAAAAATTTTAAATTGAGGCCCTGGCCGGTGTGGCTCAGTGGTTAGAGTGTCAGCCAATGCACCAAAGTGTTGCAGGTTCAATTCCTGGTCAAGGGCACATACCTGGGCTGCAGGCTCAACCTCTGGCCCCCGGTTGGGGTGCATGCAGGAGGCATCCAGTCAATGCTTCCCTCTCACATGGATGCTTCTCTCTCGCTCGCTCTTCCCCTTCCCTCCCTTCCATTCTCTAAATATCAATGGAAAAAATAGGCTTGGGTGAGGATTAAGAAAAAATTTTTTTTTAATTGAGATATAATTGACATATAACACTATATTGATTTCAGGTGAACAACATAAGGAAGAAACAGATTTTGATTTACCTTCTAGGTATCAAGCATGCTGAAATAAGACGAGGGGGCAAGCAGAAGTACTTCGGATTATATGCTCTTTGAACAAATAGGTTTATTGCAAGCCTTGACTGCTTTGATGCATTCAAATGGGCCCCGAAAAGGCAACTGCAGCTGGAATCTAAACCCCTCCTACAACAGATGCAGTTTGGGTTGAGACTGGTTTCTGATCAGACCAAGATCACAAACAGAATCAGCTGTAGATCTGGGACAACCTGGGACTTAACCACACAATTCTGTGGGGCTGGGTCAAGAAAAAATTGCTTCTTTAAGGAGCTGCAGAAGAAATGATAACCTCTGAATACAATCTCCTTTTTGAAAGCCACTTTTATTTATTTATTTTTAATTAATTTATTTTTGGGTTAAAATCTGATGTTTCTCCTTTTTCCCCCTCGACACCCTCCTCCCCACTCCCACCTAACCCCCTTCAGAGTATTGTTGCCTGTGTCCATTGGTTATCCATATGTGCATATAAATTCTTTGGTTTATCTCTCCCCACCCCACCCCTTCCTCTGAGGTTTGTTAGTCTGATCTTTACTTCTATGTCTCTGGGTCTATTTTGTTCATCAGCTTATTTAGTTCATTATTTCCCACAAATAAATGAGCTCATGTGATATTTGTCTTTCTCTGATTGGCTTATTTTACTTAGCATAATACTCTCCAGGTCCCACCATGTTGTCTCAAAGGATAAGAGATCTTGAAAGTCACTTTCAGAGATGGTCCTTTCATCTGACAGTCTTTTGGCTGAAGGGTGATTGATGCGAGGTTGTGTTTTCCGTAGTAGTGAAGATATTTTCACTTTTGTCCAAGCCTTGATCTGGACTTTCTATTTCAATAGATGGGATCTTTGCTGGATCCTTTCTGGCTGTGGCAGTGTGAGCCCCTGGAAGAGGCAGAAAACAGATGTAGACTTTCACTGGTCATTATTCCTTGGCAACCAACACCCAGCAGGCCACTGAAATCCCGGTTAATTTCTACTCCACCCCTCCTTCGAGCCCCCTAGGCATCTAGCATGCTGAAATCAGAGGAGGGGCAACAAGAAGCCACTTCCTGCCCGTTTTTGAAGTCAGGGGGCTTTCAAACTTCCCTGGCTTCCTAAAATATTTCCAAACAAACTCCTAACAGGAGATTCCGAGGAGGTTCAGTCCCTGATATTCTAGACGTTTTCAAAACAACTCTTCTGTCAATGGATATGGAGGCCCACACTGAATTTAGGATTGTGCTGTGTTCTTCCTCTTTGCCCCACCCCCTTTTATTCATTTACATTTTCTTTCCTCCTCATTCATTCTTTCACCAATCATTTCCTCTGCTTCTACTGTGTGCCAGGCTTTAGGATGGGCATACCTATGCCCAAGCTCCTATCTTTGATCAGTTCTGTGGAATTCTAGTGGGGATAAATGAACAGATAATTAAATACCATGTGATCAAGTCAATACACAAAGGACAGTTGGGGAAAGAGGGTCTGAGTGGTGGTGGATGCTGAGCGGGACCTCAGAGATGAGACAAAAGGATGGCTCTCCACGGGCGAAGTGGGAGGAAGAGAGGGGATGGTTTTAGGGCCAGGCTGGAGGATGGTGCTGGCCAGTTAAGGAGCTTAGATCTTACTTTGCCAGCAAAAGTTCTGTTTGCTTGTTCATAGCGGGGCAGTGAGGTGGTCAGTGTTGGGCTCTAGAAAGATGGCTCAGCCCATAGAGTCCGTGATGCATTGGAGTGTGCAGAGACGAGGGTGAGCAGACCCGGACTCCTTTTTCCTGGCATTTTCTTCTCTGCAACTCTTCATCATCACCTCTGTCAGTCTCCCCTTCTCATTGTGGACATCTGTCTCTCTCTCTTCCTACTTCCCCTCTCCTTTCTCTCCCTCTTACTGAGTTGAAAGGAGGAGCTATGGACTCCCTTTCCTAGAAGTTACTTACTAATGGTGGAGTTGAATTCTGAGTAGCTGCTCTTAGGCCTCCATCTATAACATGAACAGACTTGTCTTAGGGACACCTTCTTCCTCCCAGATTGTCCACATGTCCTTGGTGTTCAAATGTGACCTAATTTGGGGGAAAAGGTTGATAAACTTAAGAGGGTGATATACAGTAACTACCTACTTCACCCTCACCTTGGAAAAACTATCTTATTCTAAGAATCCATCCTGTCCATCTTACTCTAAGAATCCATCAAAAAACTCAGAAACATTGTTTCACTCCACTGAGCTTTGAAAGCCAGGCCAGAGGGAGGAACACTTGCAGTGTTGCAGGAGGGTTCTCTGGAGGTGCCCGACTAGTAACAACCAGAAGTCCCTCCCTGTCTTGGTGGCACCTCCATGCTCTCGAAGTACCCCGAGCAGCTTGGGCATGCATTCATTCCAGTACCAGTTAGCTCTGGTACTGAGCAACCCCATCTCCTGGACTTAATTTCTCTTGCCTAGAAACGAGACGTTAAAAACAAAATCTTTCTAAGTCGTTATTTGAGGTTTTGGAAAAGAGTTGAGTATCTTTGCTCGCATCTTAGAGCTGGAAGAAAAATTCCTGAGCATCTTGCTCAATCTTCTAATTTAGTAGACAAGAAAAAAATGATGTCTGAGGGAAAATGACTCCCTGAAGTCACACAGAACTGGGATGGGACTTCAGGGTCCAGTCCAGTCATCCTCCTGACATCCTTAATGTCTCAGTGTTTCGATTCTATTCGCAGACAAATGGTTCCAAGTCAGGATATTACCTCCTTCCACTCCCTTCTTCTCTAAAATCCATTATTGGCACTGGGTTTCTTGGAGCCTGAAGAGCTGCATTTCCACATGAAAAGGTCATTCCAGGAAATCATGGAATACTTACTCTCAGATTGCATCTTTGGGTTAGAAAGTGGAGTGGTGCTGTGGTGTCTGACATTCCAAGTGTCTGAAAGCTCTCATCTCAGATCAATTACTTTGGTGGTTTTCTCTTTGTCTACCAACTTTACATAAGGTTTTCGTGGAGTCCCATACCTGTCTGTAGTTGGTCTAGTTGACTGAAGACCAGGCTAAGAGTACCAGTCGTAGCTCCTGATCACTCACGACCTGGGCTCTGAGCTGCTGCCAGAGAGCGCCTGGACCCCACACACTCTTCTGCGTCCTCCTGGAAGAGCTTGGTGGAAACCTTTAGGAAAAAGGAATGGGGGAATAAGGGGGAAGTCTAAGCCCATTTTCTATAAAAAAAAAAAAAAAAGTGAAGTCTAAATGTACAGCAATGGGGAGGCTTGATCCACTTTCCTGCTTGAATTTCTAATGATAGAGAAAATGTGAATTTTGCATTCTTTCTTACTCCCTTCGTCTTTCCTTCTCTTCTCTTTCTCTCTCCTTTCCTCATTCCCTCCCTCCTTTTTTTCTTCTTTTTTCTTTTAATGAATCCCTTAGCAACAATGGGCTGTTTTCCAGAAACCATTGAATTACAGTTGGTGTCTAGGAAAGTTTCCCCAAGTATTTCATATGATATAATTAAAAAGCAAGTTGCCAGTTTAGATGAGACTCCAAATTTATAAGCAACGCCAACCCTTCTGCCAGCCAACGTCCACTTGATCTCTGCCCCCTTGAAATAAAAGCACACAGTTTAGAAATTTATCTTGAAATAAATAAGCATTTAACTCAGGGTCATATTTGAATAACTTAGTATCCATTTAGTACTCATCAAATATTTGTTCAGACAATCTCATTATCACTTTAAATTTTGGAATACAAAACAGAACATCACGTTAAATACTTATTAAGAGGAAGTTGAAGTTGTTTCAAGATGGAGAAACAACCTCTCTGACTTACTGCCACTGATGTTAATATTTATCAACTGGAGTTTAATTTTTTTTAACTATTTAAATGGCTTCTCAAGTGAAACCAAACTTAAAATGAGATAATTCATAGATAAAATTTAAACTAATGAATACTTCCTTTCCTTGATTTCCTAAGGTAATTTATATGGGCTGCAGCTGTGTGAAAAGCTAGTTACAACTGAGAATTTATAGGAACTTTTAACCCAATATCATGAATATGGTCTTAACTACATGTAAAACTGATCATTCTTTTTTGTATGTTTGAGAATTTTTATGAGCTTATTTGAGGCAAACTAATGACAATACCGGGGAGCAAGGTCCAAATGGTCCCGAGAATAACAGATTTGCAGCTTCTTTTATGCATTTGAAATTCAGGAGGGGAATGTTAGGAAAAGAAATGTGGGGATTGGATTATAGGACAGTTAACAAGATTATCCCCTTCCAGGGGTCTTACTTCTGGTATTTCAAAGGTGTGTTAACCTAGATGCACAAGAACAATGGACAGGGCTGCCTTGAAACCTTTCACTAAAGAAGTCATAAGCCTGGGGTGTGACTACGCACCAAGGCCTGCCCAGTTAGACATTTATGATCAGATCGCCCTGTGAGGTTACTTTCTATAGAACTCCTTTTTGTGTGCATAGTGCCCCCTTCTGGTCATACATTTATCCCAAGTGAGCACTGATGACCAACCTTTCGGTTACACAGTGTGGTCTCACAGAGCTAAGAAGGCTAATTCCTAGACAGTCCCAGTATCAGTGTTGTTTTGTTGACCATTGGGGAGGGGCCATGACCATGGGATCTGAGCTGAGACTGAATTTTCCCCCCAAAAGGAAGGGGCAGGTAAATGGAAGGCAGTCAGGTCTATGGCTTTTATTGCACAAAAAAGCCACTCCGGATCATTTCTGTCCTGTGAGCCATCATGGTCTGAACTTTGCCTTCTGCCTCATTTTTCTGTATTTAGCATCTAGTATAACATTGACATAAACCATGAAAAAAAGAAGTGTTAAGTGATCTTCCACGTGTTCTGTAAAAAGTTGGTGATTCTTATTTGAGGGTCATTTACTCAGTCTGTCCACGTCTGAGGCTCCTGGCAGATGGGAAAGCAGGGAACGTTTCTAGAGTTTCCTCTTTTTCGGTCTCAGTTGCAGCCATAAAGTACTTCTCAAGAATACTGCCCAACCCCCCAGCCCCACTCCCACTCCTTTCCAAAGACTATGTCTTCTATTGATTCTCTTGTTTCCTTTTCCGTTTGATCTTTGGTTCACCTCAGCTACCCCTGACTCCTTTGCCATTGACATCCCACCCATGCCATCTTTTCTGATGTTGTTGTGGGTTGTTTGGAGTTAAATGTACCTGGGAAATAAGGTCAGAGGAAATTCAAAATTTCTCATTGCCTTGCTCTGAAGCTTCTCTTTGTATCTTTTTCAAGTCTCCATCGACTGGAGGACTGCCCCCAGACTGTAGCAAGTGTTGCCATGGAGATTACAGCTTCCGAGGCTACCAAGGGCCTCCCGGCCCCCCTGGCCCCCCTGGCATTCCAGGTAAGGATGGGAGAGATGCACTGTTGCCAGCCTAATTGCAGACTGTGCCAAAATAGGAGCCGGGGGAACCCAGATAATCTGAGATTGCTTGTTTGTGATCCAAAGTGTAGACATGGAAAATCCAGAAGAGGGTTGAGTAGACGAGGTTTACAGAGACAGTTAGGTAGAACAGTATAACCTCTATGATATATATTATCTATTCCATTCAAAGCAAGAAATATGAAACTACCTGATCTTAATGGGGACACACCCTTGTGCCTGCATCTGCTACAGCATGGTTCGTGTGATACACTATATCTAACTTTCAGGGAGTTCATGAACTGAGGGTGTGAGGGAGAGGAGAGTTTACAGGTATCTTCATGGTGCCATTTACTGAGCTACCCAACCTTCTGCCAGAGTCTCAGTTCAGCTCAGTTTCTCTTCCCCTGGCCTCAGGGTCTTTCTTGTTCAGCTATCTCTGTTGACTCTTATGCCTCTCTTGGGTTCATGGGAACAGTTTTTCTCTCATGGGGATGCTGTAGAAGTCTGTCGTACCCCTCTAGACCCACCATTCAGCCATCCCTACTCTGCTGAGTGGTGTTCCGGGCAATGTGGGGTTTGGATAACTTGAGAGTATCCTGGGTCAGCCAAGGAAAGGCTAGCCCAGGTCCCTTCTATCCTAGAACTTCTAAATCTATCTGGGGGTTTAACTGTCTTCCTTCTCTCCAGGTCAATTCCTGGGCGTTAGACCTTTTCTCAGTGTTGGGCAAAAATTCTCTTGTTCTTCCCTGATTTACCTCATTGATGCTAATCTTTATCAATTGAGGTTCAATTTTAAAAATACATTTGAGTGGTTTCTCGAATGTAGCCAAATTTAAAATGAGAAAACACCCCATTAGACTTTAAACTGTGATTATTGGCGGAATTAATGTCATTGACCCTCAAGGGCAGCGGGCAGCACGTGTAGCCCTTAGAGGCGGGAGATATTCAGACTCTGCTAAAACGTCTCAGGTCGAAACCCTCCGAGGTGACAGGACAGGCGGGCCTTGGCTGAATGCTTCCCATCAGGCACACTGTTGTCATTAGCTCCCTAACCTGTAAACACACTCAAAGTTCATTCATCTGGAAATATTACAACCCTGATAAGATACCTGACCAAAGGTAGCAGGCAAAGTAAATAACCAAAGGGCCTGAAATTCAACAAATATATAAAAAAAAGAGGTATAGAAATTATTCCATGGTGGCAAAATAAAGAGTGGAAATTGTTACACAAGTCTTGCTTTCAAAATTATTCTAATTTTTTATCAATGATTTTATGTTTTCCCCAGTTATAAAAGTGATATGTGTCTTTTATAAAAAACTTAAAAAGACAAACCCAGAAAAGTATGTAGAATGACACAAAAATCACTCATGTTCCATCCATTTAGAAAAATAAAAATCACTATAAATATTTTTATGTAATTTGTTCTAGTTTTTTTACCCCTTCAGATATAACCCACGCACACATGCATGATATACACACACACACAGACACACACAGAGTATCATGTTATCTTTATTGTTTATAATCTTTTTATCTAAAAATATAATGAATATGATTAATGTTATTAAATATTTTTGTTCAGCATTCTTTTTTATGACTATGTAACATCATTTTCTGATTGTATCATTTAAAAAAATTTAGTGCTTCCAGTATTGTTGGACATTTAGATGGTTTCTAATCATTATTATAAATGATAATCAGTCTTCGATACAATTTTTCATCTAAGTCTTTCTTTATAAGATAAACAGTCTTGCCCTGGCCAGTTTGGCTCAGCAGTTGAACGTCAGCCCGTGGACCAGAGAGTCCCAGGTTCGGTTCCTGCTAGGGGCACGTACCACCAAAGAAAGAAAGAAAAACAGTCTTTGGAGCCTTGAGAGTATCTAAGGCTGTTTTCAGTGTCCCATTGAAAAGAAATCCCATTAGATGGTGCCTCGGTGGCTGTGTTTAGGATTGTCTTAAATGTCCCCTTTTGCACGTTCTGGGGCTGTGTTTGTATGAACATAGATGGTGAATATGAGTGACAGGGCTTTCTCACGGGATGATGTCTGGTTGTTTAAGGAAACCATGGAAACAATGGCAATAACGGAGCCACTGGTCATGAAGGAGCCAAAGGTGAGAAAGGAGACAAAGGTGACCTGGGGCCACGAGGGGAACGGGGGCAGCATGGCCCCAAAGGAGAGAAGGGCTACCCAGGGATTCCACCAGAACTGCAGGTGAGCCACCCTCGGCGCATCTCCAGGTGACTTCTGCATTGTCCTGAGCACCAGGGTCCAGGAATCGGAAGCTGGAGTGCTTCTTCACGCTCTCACCAGCGTGGAGGAATCTGAGCCTGTTTGTTCATCTCTAGCACAGGATGCTGGCAGAGTTCGCTGCTGTTCAGAGTGCTTTGCGATCATTCTTAGGAGAGGAGACATTTTCGAAGGGTGAAATTCAACTCCCTCAGTAGACCAAATCCAAGGCAACCCTGAATATCTGCTCATCTCCCCTTCTCCAAATGAGAAGCTACGCTAAATGAAAAGGGTTTGGGCAATTCAAATATATAGACTTCTGGATACATAAAACATTATAAGTAAATATTTGAACGTTCCATTTATTTATCAAATTTGTTACGTTTATATATTTAAATCCCATATTAATGCATAAATACTGCTTCCTATCAACTCAGATTTTATTGCACAATTTTTTATTTAAATGTTTCTTATTAGTATCTTCTTTATCACTAAAGACATTTTATTTTGAGTTATCCACCTACAGATTTTCAGATAGCTCATATTTATTTCATCTTAAAGTTTGTTTGTTTTTTAATCCTCACCTGAGGACATTTTTCCATTTTTGTTCAGGTAGAGTGGGAGGGAGAGAGAGGAAGAGAGAGAGAAAGAAACATCACCATGAAAGGGACACATCGAGTGGCTGCCTCCTGCATGACCCCAACCAGGGCTGGGGACAAACTGCAACCAAAGTATGTGCCCTTAGTGGGAACTGAACCCTACGGACTGCAGGTCAACGCTGTAACCGCTGAGCAAAACCGGCCAGGGCCATCTTAAAGTTTTTAAACTCTATTCATGAGGTTATAATTGAACATTTTATCCCAAACTCAAGTACCCATTTATCTATTTTTTTATCTTTCTTTTAAATGACCTTCAAAACTTTTGTTGCCAATAACCTCTAAAACTTGAAAATAGAAAGTTAGATTATCAAGCAAATTACTAAATTTGTATTAATTTTGGATTTTTGTCTATTTTTGTTGTTGTTATAGAATGCTTCATGAGTTTGCCTGTCACCCTTGCACAGGGCTATGCTGATCTATGTATCATTCTAATTTTTTTAAGTATATGTGCTGCTGAAGTAAGCATTTGGCTAATATTTTAAAAATTGATTAGTCCAAGGGACTCCTATGAACATTGAAAATTAGAATATTTTATTAAAGTTGTTTCCAGTTGCTATGTCTTCCGGAAACAGTAATTTGGGGTTAAAATAAAGTAATAAAGTAATTGAGGGAATATAATGTAATATGAGAGATTTTGAAGGACTGGAATATAAAGCAACTCTTGTCTGAAAGATCAGTGGGGGGAAACTTTGCCTTCTATTTGGGCATAAATAGTGGTTGTTAGACCATGGGTAAATTCCATCATGTTTCTGGGCTTGTTAACCAAGAGGTCCTGTGTGTTACTCTAACTGCTTTGTGGTTTTGTAACTTTTTAATGAATGCTGCTTAATAATTTTAGCAACCTGGGAGCCAGTATAAATTTACAAAGAAAAGGAGACAGATGCCACTTGGCCAAGTTAAAAGTACCTAATAAAATGGATGATAAACATTCTCAAAGCTGACTCTAACCCCAAACATGCGAGTGATTATACCCTGGCCAAGGGCTTCTCAGGTCTTTGATATGCTGATGTGCATTTAATAGGTATAAGTAGAAGATTTCACCCAAATTTTCCCAATATGATTTGATAATAGAATTTTAACATTTCAAAAAGCATTTAAAGTCTAACATTCTTTGAAACATGATTAGAACTGTTGCGATCCTTCCAACGGCTACATATCATTAAACTGTTAGAAATTACCATGATTTATGTAATTCATTTTCCATAGATTAATGTTGAAGTGATTTCCCATCTTGCTGTTATAAATGAAGTTGAAACAAACTTACTTGTATAAAAAGCCACTTCTTTAAAATAAACTGTCTACTAATGAACCACCAACTCTGTCCTTAGATCGCGTTCATGGCTTCCCTGGCGACTCATTTCAGCAACCAGAACAGTGGGATCATCTTCAGCAGCGTTGAGACCAATATCGGAAACTTCTTTGATGTCATGACTGGTAGATTTGGGGCCCCGGTATCAGGTGAGATGTAAGAATAAATGAATGAAATCTAGCAATCAAGAAAGAAGGAAGAAAAGAAAGGAGGGAGAGCGGGAGCGAGGGAAGAAGGTAATCACAGTGTTCTTATGAGAGAGCCCAAAAGGTCAGAACCTGAGAGAGACAGTGATGGGACAGTCGGAGCAGATTTTAGTAAACTACTACAATTCTGTGGCACACCAAATATATATATATATATACACACACATACATACACATACATACACACACATACACACACATATATATATTTTGCTGATCTGATTTTTAAAAAAGGTATAATTTTAATTCATTCACACCGGATGGCTATTGTTGTGTTGGCTGTGGTCATTTTCTTATTTGGCAATCTAAGGGGACAGAGGTCAGTACCTCTGACTAAATAATCAGGTATTGCATGTTTTGAGAAGTTTTGTGACACACTGGTTGAAAATTGCTGCCGTAGATCATAATTCTCACAGTTTAAATGTGTGTCATGACACTATTCTCTCCTTGCCACCACCCCAAGGAAGGTCTGATCCTTCTGTTGTTGTTAATCCTCACCCGAGGATATTTTTTATTGATTTTTTTTTTTTTTTGATAGATTGGAAGAGAGCGAGGGGGAAACAAGGAGAGAAACATCGATGTGAGAGAGACACATTGATTGGTTGCCTCCTGCATGACCGCGACCAGGGCTGGGGATCAAACCTGCAACCCAGCTACGTGCCCTTGACAGGGGATCAAACCTGTGACACTTCGATCCAGGGGCCAACCCTCTAACTAACGAGCAAAACCATCTAGGGCCTGATCCTTTTAAAAATCTTTGAACATTTAAAAACATTGTTATTCACTTCTGTAATAATTTCCCATTGTTACTGTACAAATGACACACTAAGGATCAAAACGACACACAATTATTCTCTTATAGTTCTGGAGGTCAGAAGTCCAAAATCAGTCCAACTGGGCAAACTCAAGGTTCAGGCAGTGCTGGTGCTCCTGGCACCCAGGCGTCTGCCTCTTCCAAGTTGCAGAGGCTGCCAACAGTCCCTGTCCCCGCCCCCATCACTTACATTTCTGCTCTGACAATTGCATCACAGTCTCTCTCAGGTTCTGACCTTGTGGCTCTCTCATAAGAATAATGTGATGACCTTGGGCCACCTGGGTAATCCAGGATCATCTCCCATCTCAAGATTCTGAACTAAATAATATCTGCCAAGTCCCCTTTGGCACATAAGGTAACATTCACAGATACTGGGGACTTTAGGACATGGGCATATTTGGGAGTCATTAATCTGTCCCCCTCAACCTCCCTACTTTCTAGCACCACAAGCTGCTTCAGGTTCATCTTGCATTTTACTCTGTCCCAGCTTTGGAAATAGTCCCTGTCCTTTTACTGAGACGCCAAAATCTGGGTATTAGATGTGTTCATTGCTACCGTGATGTCATTGCCTCTAGCTCCTATCAATGGACAGAGCTAAAAAATGTGTTTGCATACTAACCCATGCATACATGCATATCTCTATCTCTATCTATCTATCATCTATCTATCTATCTATCTATCTATCTATCTATCTATCTATCTATCATTTATCTATCTATCTATAAATCAATACTGTGTGTTAAAAACAAACAAACAAGTTCATTTTGATACATCAGATTCAAATCCAGTACCACTGGGTTCATTCTAGTATTCCCTTTATTTATTTGTAACTTTTTTCTTTGACAGTAAGAAACCTGGCTTTGGTAATCTATAGTATATTTAATTATTTGGTGAGCCTTAGTATTCAAATAAAGTAGGTATAAAATTGTTAACCCATGTCCTATGAGAAACAAATTGACCAACGAAGATACAATGATTTGTGTACAATTCTCTTTATCTTTACAGTATTCATTCAAAACACTTACATCTTTTCCACCCCATACCCTTTAGTTTGGTTACTTCATTCATTTATAATATAGTTAGATTCATTTGTCACAGTCTCATATTGCGTTTCCCTGACATTCTGGTTGAGTTTTAAAAATTCTGAGTACAGAAAAATTAATTCTTTGTACATTTTTATAGGTTTTGACAAATGGATAGAGGTGGGTCTCTACTGCCACATTGTCAAACAGAACAGTTCCATCATCCGAGAAACTCCTTGTGTTATACCTTTGTAGACAACCCCTGTGAACCTCAGCCCCTGACAACTACTGATTTGTTTTCTATTTCTATGGTTCCATACTGTCATATAAGTGGAATCGTGCAATATATAGTCTTTTGAATCTGGCCTCTTCACATAACACACTGCCTTTATTATTCATCCATGTCCATGTATGAATCAGTAGTTTTGTTTCCTTTTCTTTCTATACATTATTCATTAAATCGATACATTAAAGTTTATCTATTCATGAGTTAAAAAACATTTAGATTGTTGATTAATCAACCCTTTATCATCATGTCAAGTTTCTCTTTAGCCTTGATAATATTTCTGAGGTCTATTTTGCTTAATATAGCTATTTCAACTTTCTTTTGGATAGTGTTTGCATGGTGTATTTTTCCATCCTTTTACTTCAAAGCAACCTATATCTTTATATTTAAACTAGTTGTCTAATAACAACATGTAATATAATCTGACAATCTCTGTCATTCAACTGGAGTGTTGGATCATTCATACTTAATGGGATTATTGATATGTTTGGATCAAGATCTATCTTCTTGCTATTTTCTATTTGTCCTACCTGTTGTTTCTCTTTTTCCCCTATCTCTTGGGCACATTTAAAAAAATCCATTTTAGCCCTGGCCGGTTTGGCTCAGCGGTTGGAGCGTCCGCCTGCGGTCCGGAGAGACCCGGGTTCGGTTCCCGCTAGGGGCATGTACCTCGGTTGCAGTGTGTCCCCGGCCCTGGTTGGTCGTGCGGGTGGCAGCCACTCGATGTGTCCCTTCACATCGATGTTTCCCTCTCTCTCTTCCTCTCTCTCCCTCCCACTCTATCTGTACAAAAAAATGGAAAAATGTCCTCGGGTGAGGATAAAAAAATAAATAAATAAATAAAAAATCCATTTTAGCAATAGTGACTTACTCTTTAAAACTCTTTTTAAAATATGTTTTAGTTGTCATCTTGGCATTCACAATATTAATGACTAATTAATCACAGTCTATATTCAAATACTATAAGATTGCTTAATGCATAGTATAATGACCTTGCAACAATATTTTCCTAATTCTTCCCTCTCATCTTTTGCATTATTGTTATTATGTATTTTATTTTATTTTTTACATGCACTAAGCACGCAACAAATTGCTGCCAGTTCTGTTTTAGACAGTCAGTTACATTTTAGATCAATGCTTCTCAGTCTGAGGTTATTGGTTTAGACTCATCCTGCGATTTAATATATTCAATGTTCACCATTGGTCATTTTACCAAAGTTTCCCAGACATCTCTTTATTAGCTAAACTTTAACCTCTAATTATTTTCTTAAGGCTTATGACATCAATATCCCCAAGGACTTTACATGTTCTATACTCTTTGTGGTAACTTTAGCTGCATATGAAAACTTTGGCTTTCATCTCTCCTTCTCCTGTCTTCTGTCCTTTGGCCTGGAGAACTTTGAAATAAGTCTGAATCTTTCCTCTTATAAGTAACTTAATCATTTTGCTTGACTTCCCAAAGAATTCTTTCTTTAATTTCAATATTTTTTCTAGAATAAGTGTTGGTCATTCTAGGCTAACTTTCCCTGCTATGCAGTGTATCCTTTTGATATGTGGGTGTAAGACTTCTTTTTGTCCAGAAAAATTTTGAATTATATATATATATATATTTTTATCCTCACCCAAGGACACTTTTCCATTTTTTGTTCAGATAGAGTGGGAGGGGGAGAGAGAGAGAGAAACATCGACGTGAAAGGGACACACCAAGTCGCTGCCACCGCATGACCCAACCAGGGCCGGGGACAAACTGCAACCGAGGTACATGCCCTTAGCGGGAACCGAACCCGGGTCTCTCTGGACCGCAGGCAGACGCTTTAACTGCTGAGCCAAACCAGCCTTGAATTATATTTTAAATATAAATATAAATATAAAACCATCTTTTCTTCTCATTGTTGTGCTAAGGTGGCGGCAGTGGGAGCAGTCTGACTTGTGTTAAGAAATCTGGCAGTACGGGCTACATTGTCTGTAGAATATTTTAAAACTATAATGAAACCAATAAAAAGTCAGTTAGATTTTTATTTATCAGCACAAGTCAGCAATTCTAAACAATGTCAGTGATAAAATACTCCCTTGGGGGTGAAGCATTTACAAGCATTCCCCCCAGACCCCGACCCCCCCAGTGCACCTTAGCACACCTCTGGTTACCTTCTTTAAGGATTCCACTGCACCTGTTTGCTTTGTTTTAGATGTTTCTTTATCTTCCATAGCTATCATTTTCTGTAACCTTTTGGTTCTCTTTATTTCCATTTCCTGTTGTTTGCTTTTTCCATTTCTATCCTGCATGTTCTTAGTTGTATCTTCTTCTGCCTTGTTTCTATGATGCTTTTTTAAACTTTTTGTTTTTAATGTCTTACGTTAGTCATGATGTTGCAGTTTTTAGTCCCCCCCCCCCCCCCGGCCATTTCTATCATGAATTCTTGTATCCTTTTTCATAATATTCTTTTGAAGGGATATTTGCTCCCTTAATAGATTGTAAACTCATGATGGAATATTTGGTTACATTTCCTCTTGGTGAGTATTCTTCACCAATGAGTAATTTTTACTGTGCTTTTCTTGTTTTTAAAATTAACTGGTGGTTGAGTGGTTGGGTATTCCTAGACCCACTGTATGTTGTCGTTTCTCCCGGGCCTGGTAACGGTGGCTCCCTGCCCTGCCCTCCGCAGACTCCCTGTTTGGTTTGGGTATGGCCCCTCTGCCTGTCTTCCCTGTGTGGTCGTTCTCCCTGCCTGGGCCGGGTCCAGGGAGACTCCTGAACCCAGCTTTGATGTTCCCCACTTCTCTTACGTTTAAATGCCTTATTTTTGCTGGCAGGTTCTGAGATCTGCCACTGCAGGACCGCTTTCCACGCTTCCGTACTTCATTTAGCAACCTTCCCCCAAAACGTAACTTTTGCTCCATCTCAGCCCTGCTTACAGGAGGAGCTTCTGTTCAGTATCTGTCCTTTAGACGGGCCTCTCCGCCCAGGAGTGTTTTCCTTGGCGCCACTGGGGACCTGCTGCTCTGTGGCCTGGTCAAACCTCCCTGCCCACCCTCATGTCGCCTCCAAGTGACTCTGCCGCTGTCCGTGATGTTGGACAGCACTTACAAATATTTTAAGTTTATTGTTTTGTTTGTGTTTGTTTTTTTTAAATTCTCACTCAAGGATAATTTTCCATTTATCTCCAGTCAGAGTGGGAGAGAGAGAGAGAGAAGGGTGGTGGGGGGGGGGGGGGGCGGAGACATCGACATGAGAGGGACACATCGATTGGTTGCCTTCTGCATGACCCGACCAGGGCTGGGGATGAGGCATGTGTCCTTGACCAAAATCAAACCTGTGACTCATTGGTTCGATGCTCTGACTACTGAGCCAAACTGGCCAAGGCGATTGTGTTTAGTTTTTTGTTTTCTTTTTAAGTGTCTTTGTTTTGCAGAAAATGGATGCTTTTAGGTGTTTCTTTTTAATTTTTTGTTTGTTTGTTTCTCTATATGGTATCCAGAAGGAAAAGATGAAATTCTGATGGGTGCAGTGACAGTGTCAGATTTGTCACAGAGGCTTTTAATGTGGGCCTCTATTTATGTTTCTCCCCAGCTAAAGTCACAACCGAACCCAGACGTGAGGTGACAGAGCCGTCCTGCGTCACACTTCCGTCCGCGTTAACACTCCTCTTCTGATACTCCTGCTCCGAAGATTTATGTTATAATTTCCCTGTAGCTACTTTGTTAAGACCAGTCAATGGTTCCATTGTTTTCAATGGCTTTGTCTTTGAAGCTCAAGAATGGAGTCATTTTTTAGAACTCTTTTGGGCTAGACATAATTCTGATAGTAACAACTATCATTTGACTCCCACTTTGCTGTTTAAACCTCATTCAATAGATGGCAAAAGTGACCGTTTTGTACTTTTCATCTTTGGAAGTGATGAGACAAGGAAAGTTGATTTTTGTGATCACAGTAACACAAAGACCAAAAACCATAGTACAAGTGTGTACATAGAACAAGTGTATATTATTATAGATATTATTAATATATAAATAATAGGGTATAATATCTATTCACTTCTGCATTTCCAACTCTAGGAATTTTATTATTCACTGTCTGGTTTCTTTGCTCTTTCTAGAATACTTCTGCAATCTATTTATTATAGTAGTCATCATTTTTTTTCATGAAAACAAATATCTTTTCCTGTCCTTTGATTCTAGATTCATCTTCTTGAGACACTGAAAATTGGTGTGTGTGTGTGTGTGTGTGTGTGTGTGTGTCTAATAAGAAGTTTTACAAAATGTGAAAAACTGGACACATATACATCACTTTCTTTGAGACCTCTAGTTTTTCTCTGCCTTTACTTTTTCTCTGTGGACTATCTAGGCTCATGAATGGACATGACTTATTTTTATACCATTTCCTTTATTCCCAGCACACTGAATATACAAGCCTAGCACTAAATGAAGCATAATCAAACTTCTGTATTTGGTTCAACTTGACTCAGAAGCAGGTGGATCAGCATGGTACCCTTACGGCCTCTATCTGACTTGAATGCACCTTTGCAAAAGAGCATAGAACTGTGTAGTGCTGTTTTTAGATGTTTCTAGGTTTTTCTCTTACAGAGCCTGGTATGGCCTAAATATTTGTGTTCCTCCAAAATTCATGCATTGGAAACCTAATGCCCAAAGTGATGGTATTAGAAGGTAGGGTCTTTGAGATGTGATTAGATCATGGAGTGGAACTCTCATGAGTGGGATTAGTGCCTTTATAAACGAGGTCCCACAGAGCTTCCTAGTCCCTCTGTCACGAGAGGATACAACCAGAAGTCTGTGACTTGGAGGAGGGCTTCCACCTGACCCATGCTAGCACTGTGGTTTCAGACTTTGAACCTCTAGAACTATGAGAAATAAATTGCTATTGTTGATAAGCTACTCAGTGTGTGGTATTTTATTATAGCAGCTTGAACGAACTAAGATGAGGCCATTAGTTTAAAAACATAGCATGGAAAACAATAAAAGCTTAATGAATTATATTCATGCATCTTTCCAAAATACACTCTCAAATCCAAGATCCTCTGGAGTTGAGACGATTTTCCTTTTCGCTCATCTCCCTATTATTGGATTCTTCTTAATCATCCAATAAATATAATGTCTGTCTGCAACAGCAATTCAATACGTTTTTTTAAAAAATTGAATTGTTTAGAAAGAGAGGAAGGGGGAGAGAGACAGGAACATCCACGTGAGAAACATCAATTGGCTGCCTCCTGCATGCTCCCTACCGGGAATCGAGCCTGCAACCTGGGCGTGTGCTGGGAATAGAACCAGGACCTCTCAGTCCATGGGATGATGCTCAATCCACTGGCCACACTGGCCAAGCTACATACATTTCAAATGCATCAGGTTATATTAAGTTGCTTTCAATTAGGAGCCCTAAAATCTTACAAAGAAACTCATGTCTTGATCTTTTTCAAATGAGAAGGATTCATAACTTTAGTAGCAAGGTTATGCTGCTGAGTCCAAGTTGGATCTTTCTGTTTATTGCACATAATTTTACCTACTTACAATGTCTAAAATGAGAAATTACTGGAACTATTTCTTTAAAGCTGATAAACACCTATCTGTACTACAGGACTTTCGTATCTTTGGCTATCATCGGTGGTGGGTGTCCTCGTTCACTGTGCTGTTTGTTACACTGACTTAGCTTGCCAGGCCACAGAGGGCCATGTGCTTATCATGCAGGGCTCTGTGCCTTGTCCATGAGTCCTGAGGTAGGCATCGATGATATTCATCTGTACCCAAGAACAGCATGCACTTTGCCTTAAGCGAGAGGAGGCATTGACATATAGCCAAAATGAGATCAACTCTTCCCTTGAATGAGTTTGCAATATTATTAGGGACACACACACACTACACACATTGAGGACGTCTCAAAAAAAATTGAAAGCAGTTTGAAGGTGAGAGCAGACAAAGGGGCACTTATACAGATAAGGGCCAAGAGGAACCGATATACCATCTAGAATATCAGCAAAAGAAGTGTGAAGTCATGTGGCACATCTCCCTGTTGTCTCGTGATCCTCAATGAACCATATGTTAATATATATGGGAATAAATACCTGCCTTTTTCAGGTGTGTATTTCTTCACCTTCAGCATGATGAAGCACGAGGATGTGGAGGAAGTGTATGTGTATCTCATGCACAACGGCAACACAGTCTTCAGCATGTACAGGTGGGTGGTCTTCTCTATCATAGGTAACATCCACGCTACCACTGTTTGTTCAAAGGTTGGCCAATGCCAGGGGACTATATAGGAATCAGTAGAGCCTGAGCCGGACCCTGTCATCACTGAGAGCTCCCATATACCAATATATGGCCAGATTATAATTACTAACTGGGAAGAAATACACCTGATGAACTTGAGCATAAGCAGAGAGCTTTCCTCTTCATAGTCTTCAAGAACTCAGGCTGCAACATACACCTTAAGGTCATTCTGGTCATTGTCATTAGCATCCCACACAATCATAACGCAGAAGGATCAAGGAGGGGTGTCTGTGAGAGGTGCCTTGGCCTATTCTATAAGTGGCACATGCCATTGCTGTTGTGTTCTTTAAAGAACTTAATCACAAGAATACACCTAAAGACATGAGAGCCGAGAGAGGAGGAGAGGACAGATTTGGGCAAAGAGCAGGCTCTCCACTGCAGAGACTAAGTAGTTGGTGCTGTTTCTCCTTCCTAGCTATGAAACAAAGGGGAAATCAGATACGTCCAGCAACCACGCTGTGCTGAAGCTGGCCAAAGGAGATGAGGTTTGGCTGAGAATGGGCAACGGCGCTCTTCACGGGGACCACCAACGCTTCTCTACCTTTGCAGGCTTCCTGCTCTTCGAGACTAAGTAAATATGTGAATGGACCAGCTCTCCTTTGGGGAAGACTGTAGCTGAGCTGGTACCATTATGACCTGAGGGATACTAGAGTTAAGGGTTCTACATGTTGTATTTTTTCAAAAGTTATTGGTTACATTGCTAATCATGCTACAGATACAGCAGTAATGTTGGATGACTCAGGGGCTCAGAAGAATAAAACACAAAGCAGTTTTACCAAGTGACCTTCCCCAACATGCTTACCCCTTTGTCACTCTTCCCTGGGCACCTAAAGAGAATCCCCCTCTCGATACAAGTTGGAAACAATTGTTCCTATCAGGGAAGTAATTTGCAAAGAGTTTTGGTGGTTCTGTTTTTAATTTAATAGCAGCTTTCAGGAACCCGTGAGGTGTGGGGTTCATCATTCATTTCATTATAACTTTTCAGTGAATAGGAAGCAGTGATTATGATGGGGCTGGGGCAAAAACAGGGGCACTTGCCCGAATCAGGGTACCAGAAACATTTGTAAGGCCTCGACTGGGAAGGAACACTTTGATCCAGTGGGTCAATATAATGAATAAGTATAGATATTTTTTAGTTATTCCTGATAGCTTTTAGATAGTAAAAGTAATCACAATGCCCACAAATAATTGACTCATCTTTTTTTCTATAAGGATGCTACTGTAATTAAATCCTAACTTCTAATAGCTTGTATTTTTCTAAATAAAATTTCTTCATGATCTAGAATTGGATAGACCATATCTGGTTTATCAGATCGACCCTTTCCCACTGCGTTTCTTAGATTACACTAGATCTTTGTTGACACTGACCTGCAGGTGAGTTTAGGTCTACATTGTACAGGTATAATCGCCCTTTCTCTCAGTTTAAAAATTACCCTAGCAAACTTCACACACACTGAGAAATCATTTTGAAGGAGCTGTAGACTCAGTTATATATAGTCAAACTGATGGATACAAAATAGGAGACATACAATAAAATCTTTTAACTTTTAAAAAAGAAATGATATGACTTTTTTTATTACCATATTTAATCAATATTCACAGAGCAGCTGTGTCACTTGATTTTTGCCTATTCCTCCCCACAAAGCCTGTTTTCCAAGTATTAAATTAGTCATCAAAGCAGTATTCATGAGAATGAACCATAGATACATCTGAAGATAATACCCAAAGATAGTACCTATCATTGGTTTATTTTAAGCAAAGAAAGCATCATTGGAATATGTGTTTACCATGATGTTGAATCATATTTAACATGCACTAGAGAGATACCTATCTGACTAATATCATATAATGAATTTCCTTATAAGTAATGAGCCCTTAATTTATTTTCTGTTACAATTTGAATTTCCGCAGAAGCTTTTAAACTGTGGGGTTCCTTGTATTGATTACCCCCTGTAGCTGGAGGCAGAGAAATTAATTAGGACTGCCCCTTATATCAGCTAACAGTGTGTTTCATGTGCAGTTCAGTCTTTGACCCTTTTCCCTCCATTTGCAAATATTTTAAACTCTTCCTGACCCACATGCAATGCTATTCAAAAGTGAATAGATATTAGCTAGAATGGGCTTGACTAGAAATGTTTTTGTGATTTTGTATACATTCCCCTACCCTTCACCCCTTTCCCTGGAGCAGTACGGCCACGAGGTTAAAATTTACTGTTACCAAATGTCATTGCCATGAAAAGTGCATTGCCAATAGACACTTGGATGCTGCATGCTGACCAGTGGAATTTCATATGTAAAAAAAAACCAAAAAAGTCCAAGTGAAGTGCCTAAGAGGAAGATATTGGCCCAGCTTTAGATCAAATGGAGGCAAGAAACATGTAATAAGCATTGTGTGAAACATAAACACACCTTTGTTAAACATACTGTTTTATAATGTTCTTAATAAAGTTGAATAATCATACAATTGTAAATCACTGTGATTTGTTAACACAAAATTAAAATATTTGTATGCAGCCCTGGCCAGTTTGGCTCAGTGGTTAGAGTGTCGGCCAGTGGTCTGGAGAGACCCGGGTTCGGTTCCCGCTAAGGGCACGTACCTCGGTTGCAGTTTGTCCCCGGCCCTGGTTGGTCGTGCGGGTGGCAGCCACTCGATGTGTCCCTTTCACATCGATGTTTCTCTCTCTCTCTCCCTTCTCTCTCTCCCTCCCACTCTATCTGTACAAAAAATGGAAAAATATCCTCGGGTGAGGATAAAAAAAAATTAAAAAAATAAAAAAATAAAAGTCTTTAAAAAAAATAAATAAATAAAATGTTTGTATGCAGATGATGTGAAGAGTGGCACAATCAATTGTGTGGGAACAGAGCAGGGTCACTTGTCTACCCCAAATTCCCCTTTTCAGTTAGTCCACAGTTATAACTTTAACCTTTTGAGTGTTTAAGACACTGACGTTTCGAGGATCCTTTAATGAAATCTGAGTATCTTGAAGGGGAAGGGATCATCATCACAACCCAAAGTCTTCCTGAGTTGACGCCTGAATTCTAGTTTTCACCTTAGTAGAGGCAGACACCCACGGTTGGGATGCGGGTGGGCGGATAGCACTGGGGGCCAGCAAGGATGACCCGGGTGTGAAGAAGAGTGATTGCTAAGGAAGGTAGGAGAAGGCCAAGAAAATTATCAGTGTTTCCCAATTTTACCCATTACCAGAACTAGGTCGGAAAGACTGGTTTTTCAAGTCTTCCTAAAAGTGAGGCTCTGTAGAGGAGTTAGTAGGTGGGTATCATGGGAAATTCAAAGGTATCATCTAAGCAACCAGCTTTGTTTTCAATCCTCACCCGAGGACATGTTTCCATTTTTTGTTCAGGTAGAGTGGGAAGGAGAGAGAGAGAGAAACATCCATGTGAAAGGGACACATCGAGTGTCTGCCAACCGCACGACCAACCAGGGCTGGGGACAAACTGCAACTGAGGTACGTGCCCTTAGTGGGAACCGAACCAGGTCTCTCTGGACCGCAGGCCGAAGCTCCAACCGCTGAGCCGAACCGGCCAGGGCTAAGCAACCAGCTTTTAAACTCTGAAGCTCGAATGAAGTCAAACTCCATAGCCACGCATGTGGGTTTCTGCTCGCTGCAGAAATTGTCTGTCTGTACAGCACAGAGCTGCTCCACTAGGGGAGCAGGTCGGGTGGTTTTCCTGTGCCAAAAGGGAGGCATTTGAACTCTGAACAACAGATTACATCGAAGGAATTTTATTGCGCAAATTGTGAGCAAAAGCTGAAGTCAAATATATTCCAGCAGAGGATCAAATAATCCAATGTAAAGTGCAAAGGGCATGACTGGAATGGATAAACGTCTATTTTATGCAAAGATCCTGTGGTATTCCAGGAGCTACTCAGCATTTAGAGTGCAATGCTTACCTCCGGTGAGTTTTTAACCTGAGAGGAGAAAAATTCTGAGATGTCCTAATTGAAATTACAGGAAGCTGGATGGTGGAAGGAAGAGGCAAGAGAAGTCCACCAGTTAAGTCAGGGGCTGACACCCACAAAAGACTGCTAGTGTTCCTGAGTGCGTGGGACTTGGAGTCAACTCCCACGCAGCCACCTGAAAAGAAGGGCTGCCCACTGGATGCCACGCATCCTGCTTGCACCTGAGCTTCCCAGACCTGCCCACAACCAACACAGAGCGCCAAGTACTTCTTCCTGACAATCACCTACCCCAGAACTTTCTGGAACTTTCTTTAATGTACTTTTTCCCTGCCCCCTTATCTACAGCCAATGTAAATCCTTTCAAAGCAACTCACATCTTTCTTCCCCAAATGCATCGTATAACAGAGCCCTGTCAACCCCAGGATGGGGGCCTTTGCCTCTCTTGGAGCCCTGCTGCTGGTCCGGCCTGTATGCCCGGAACCTGGTCCTTCTTCTGTCTAGCTTGGAGCTCAATAAACCCTTTCTCTGAGGAAAGCTTTCGGTCTCAAAGGCTTTTGTTGAACAAACCTAATGGAGGAAGATAGGTCAAAGAGATTGAGTGCGTGGATGATGTTTTCATAGCCCCAGAAGGCACAGGGCTAGGGATTCACAGGACAGAGAAACAGTGCCCAGCTCACAGCAGGAAAGAGCTGTGGAAAGGTAGTATTTGTCTAGAGACAACTTCATGCTTTATTGTGTCTGGAGTGTGACCTTTAAAAGTATCTTTTTGTTCTTTCCTGATTATAAAAAAATACTGTAGACATTTTATAAAATACATAAAAGTACTTAGTATAAAAATCAATCATCCCATCAAACATAAGTTCAGCATTTTGAAGTATTTATGTCAATCTTTTCTTGCAAATCTTTATGATTTTTATTTTTAGCAAAATAATAATAAAACAAATCATTTGACATTACACTTTCTACATATTTTTGGACCCTGCTATGGTTTGCTCTAACATATTAAGAGCACGCTCAAATGCTATTAAGGATTAATTTATTTAACCTTTTCCATTTGGGGAAATATTTTTGCTATTTCCAATTTTTCTTTCTATTACAAATAATTTGGTCTGTACCCCAGGTTCTTGATACAGAGCCCCTAAAATCCCTTTAAATAGGAGTGCTAGAAGAATCTTCTAACATTATCATTGACTGCAGTTCCTAAAACCCGTATGATTTCCTAGGTATTTTTTTTTTTTTTTATCCTCACCTGAGGATATTTTTCCATATTTTGTACAGATAGAGTGGGAGGGAGAGAGAGAGAGAAACATCGACGTGAAGGGACACATCGAGTGGCTGCCACCCGCACGACCAACCAGGGCCGGGGACAAACTGCAACCGAAGTACGTGCCCTTAGCGGGAACCGAACCCGGGTCTCTCCGGACCGCAGGTCGACGCTCTAACCGCTGAGCCAAACCGGCCAGGGCTGATTTCCTAGGTATTAAGGTCACTAAGAACATCATTTTTCTATTTGGTCTTTGACCCTGGTTCCTGATACACAATTCCTATATCACTTGGGATTTCTTGGGTGATAGTGTCTTTTTTGTTTTTTCTCAATGAGGTGACTCTTCGTGGACTCCCAGATGGGGGCTAGTCACCAAAAAGACCAAACCATGATTAGAAGCTTCGCATTTTCAGTCCTACCCCTCCATTCTCTAGAGAGGGGAGAGAAGCTGGAAATGGAGTTAATGATCAATCATGCCTACATCATGAAGACTCAGTAAAAATCCCGGGAGTATGGGGTTTAGAAAGCTTCTGGGTTTGTGAACACATCCGTATGCTGGGAGGATATCACACTGCAACTGCGCGGTGTCCTTGGAACCTACATGGACCTCCCTCATCATATGAGAGAGAGAGAGAGAGAAACATCGATGAGAGAGAACATCGATTGGCTGCCTCCTGCATGCCCCCCACTGGGGATCAGGCCCACAACCTGGGCATGCACTCTGACCTGGAATCAAACTGGTGACCTCTTGGTGCATGGGTCGATGCTCAACCACTGAGCCACACAGGCCGGGCATCATATGTATTTCTTTGTCTGGCTGTTCATCAGTATCCTTTTTATTTTATCCTCACC